AATATCATTTATTTAATTATAATAGTTTTTATTTTATTATTATTAATAATGTCTATATTTTTACAAACTAATGATAACCATAATATTTACTTTATTACGGGAAGAAATCAACATATATAATGTAAAACTTTTTAGTTTTATAATTTTTTTAATTATTGATTTTAATAGATCTAATAGATAAGAGAAACTAAAAAGAATGATTTAATCTCATCGCTTAAATCTATTGAAATCGATAGTTAGAAAAATATATAAAACTCAAAAGTTTAACACTTAAGTAAATTGATCTTACCTTTTTATTTATATATATATATAATTTGTATCTTTAATATCATTATTCATCTTTTATAATTATTTTTCTATATCATCAAATTTCAATTAAATTAATTTTCTTTTTAAAAATAAATATCCAAATAAAATAATTACAATGCTAGCATTTTTAATTGATGCATTTTAAAATATTTTATTTCAAATTTCTTCAAAAATTTAAAATTATTCATCCTAACACATTTTTAAAAATAATTATATGAATCAACTGAATTAAATATCAACTTTACATGCTAAAAGAATTTTCTTTTTCAAATATGTTTAGCAAAAATAAAAATGTACTAAATACTATTCATATTTTTTAATAATATTTTATAAAAAATTATTAGTTGACATTATGTTCAAATGAATTAATTTAGTAACATGATAAGAAGAACATAAAGGTAAAACAATAGGAGATTGATTTAATTAGTTAATTCATATTAATAGTTTTATTTTAATAATAAAAGATTTCAATTTGAAGTTTTGATAATTATCGTTAGCATTATTTAAAGTCTTTTTTTTCAAGATGACTAAAAAATTTAGGAATTTATTATTTAAGTTTTTTAGCAATATTTTTATTAAATTATTTTTAATAAAAAATTTTACAAATTTTTTTAAAATAATTTTATTTAAGTCTTGTATAAAATAAATAGACAAATTTAAAATGTTTAACTCAAAAAAAAAAAAGTGATTAGGGCCAAGGGTAGACGAGCAAAGCCAGAACGTCTGAGAAACAGTAGAAAGGAAAAAATGGTATTAAACGGCCGACAAAATAAAGGGTGGTGGGGAAGGGGGGTGGGGTGGTTGAGTGGTTGTTGAAGTGATATGGCGGCAACAGATCACAGCCAACCAAGTACTAACACGTGTTTAGTGCGAGTACCAAATTGCAAATGCGCTCTGCCTTTGGAAGGAATCACGAGGTGAAAAATACTTGTACAGTTGTAGTACCAATGAGTTGAGTTGCTTTTCTCCCCCTATTTCTTTTTCTTAGCTTTGGTTTTGCAATCTCAGAGTCAATTCTGCGCTAAGCAAAGTTATACGGAACAACCAATACCAAGTCTTTCTTATTATCTGTATTAGAAGCCTACACCAAGTTCTTTATCTAATATAAATTATGTAATTTTGCTGTTATCTGTCAAAACCTGAATCCATCAGTTGTATAGTTGTTGTGTTGTAATTTTATAGTAGTATCTTCCTCCAACAGCAGCTATAGTTTGGAGGAGTGGACACCTGCCATAAACTTTTAATTTTAAGAAAATAGGCTTCCTCACCAGTAACCGGAGTATATTTGCTGATGTCAAAACAAGTTAATATATCAAATCAAGAATCTCCAGCTCAAATTTAAGTGACACAAGATATTTATATATATATATATATATATATACTACTCCATCACTCCTTTTTTTTTATATCTAAAAATTTTATCTTATTTTTTAAAACATTTAAAATTTTTATTTTTATATTTTAAAATTATATTTTAAAATTTTTTAATTTTTTGACATTAAAAATTATAAAATTTTAATTTTAATATTAAATATATTAAAATCAAAACTATTTTTTAAATTTCATGAATAACTTTCAAACAATTTGAGATGAAAGTATTTGATAATATAAAATATTATATAATAATATGAAACAAAAATAATACGAATAAAATATGATTTAAAATTTTAACAAAAATTATATATTAATTTAATAAAAAAATATTTTATATTTTTATATCATATAAATTATAATATGTAATTTTTATATAAAGTATGACATGATATATGAATTATTAATATTTTATATGAGATGAAAAAAGAGCATAATATAATGATAATATAAAAGTAAATAATGTAGCTTCTTTTCTTTCCATTTATATTTTAATATTTTTATTATTTCTGACTTCCATTTCCTCGTCTGGAGGGAGCATCTTCTTATCGTTGTGTACAATTTTCATTTCACTATTATTGAAGTCTTAAAAATCTTGAGAACAAAATTTGTGGGTGTGCCTGCGACAACGTCTTCCGAAAGGGGGTAATAGTTTCTTATTATAACAAGAAACTAATCAGTTGGACACATTCTTCCTGCAGCTCTTTGATCCATATTTAGTCGAATGGATTGTTCTTTTTGCTCAAATTTTGTACTTGCTGCTTTAAAATTCTGGAGTGTGAATTATTAACAATGATCACTTGAAGCAAAAGAGCAAGCAAGTTCAACGGAATTCATGGGATATTTGACACCATGATTCCAATATGCATGAAACCCAAATCCCTCTAGCGATTGATCATGCACACCCCCTTTTGTACAAGAACAAATTATACATGAAAATGAAAAGATTGCACATGAATCCTGAAGATCAAGAATCCTGAAAAACAAGAATGGAAAGATCATCGAATGTCATAAGAACAAAGCAGTGCCTGTTGAGTAAATTGAAGCCGTGAACAGGAAAGCTTTTGCAGAGACGATAAACGGTTGGCGATTACCAATTTGATTTACAAGAAAGTGAAGTACCAAGGTCCCCGGTTTTGAAAAAATTGGGAACCCTCAAAGGGGACAAGTGTTCCATGGATGACGTACGGAAGGGGACCAGTTGTGACTAATAGGGGGCTTAAAGAGTAGGAACAGGAAAAGATGTGGAGTGCAACTCAAGGCAACAGACCAAAAGAGCATTCAACACAGACCAAAAGCAAATTGACTGTGCTTTGTCATCAATCCAGACAGTTCCTTTTCTTCTTATAGAGAGGTAATTAGGCCGTGAGGGTTTAGGTTTTTTTAGCCCCACTTTCACTTTCACCGAGTGGACACACCCTAAATGTGCAGACGGGGTCACTGACAACCTGCAATGGAAATGAAACTCTGCTTTGAGCTTCTGGTGAAGTGCTGATCATGAGCTCATGGACCACAGAGAGAGTCCATGGGAAAGTGTGCTTTGTTAAGAAACCAACTTGCCTTTTCTTTCTTCCTGTTTTTTCACATGAATCTTTGCCCTGCACTCGAAATGGGCTGAAAATGAAACTGCCAATGTCTGCAGTCTGTCCATTAACAAATGTTTGTTCACATTTTTGGACTTTGGTGTAAAAGTTAATTAGATCATGAGCTTCTGCAAACCTCATGGCAGCAAACTCAATTCTAATCCTAATTCATCAAACAAAGGTATAAGAAGAATCATTAGATTTGATGAAAACTCGAACTTACATCTGTTTAGAATTTAATTCATTTCTAGGCTTACTCGATTATCATACTTCTAGCTTTTCCCTTAACCGATTTTGTCAATCATGTTTCACAAGTTTCGAACTTACTAACATAGTTCACCTATTATGGATTAGTTTCAGATTGGATGTCACTTATTTTCTTGTTACTAGTATGAAATTCTTATGCACAATTAACAGATAATGTTGGAAAGGCAAAGTACATAGCTTGAGCCATTCTGTTCAAGAAGCATGATTTTTTACCCTCACCAGCCCTCAAAACCCATACCTCTAAACTGTCACCTAGCAAAGTTTAAAGGAGGGCAGGTAAAAGAAGGACTAGAATTTACAATTTTATACTGTCAAAAAACATTGTGTCATCTAGAATCTTGACCCCCAACATTATAAAAATCCATCCAACCATTGGTAAGCAAATCAATGGTAGCCCCTAGGCTTGGGGGTTTATTTATGTACCAACGTAATAATTCACAACTGCTATAACTTGTATCTTATGCCTTTTTTACCATTTTTCTCCATTGTCCAGCTTTTGCAGCAAACCATCTTTATTCCCTTTGCACAAAGGCTGCACGCATATTCCTTTTGGGACATGCAACAGAAAAGAAAAGAAAAGAACAAGACCCCCCTGCTTTGGCAATGAAATCCATGAAATGCTTCACTTAAGTTTAAACAGAAGATTGCATTGCATCTGTGCAATTCCATTAAAACTGGGCAATTTGAGCACGCGTGCATTCCAGGGAAAAAGAAAAGGGTCGCCATCTCAAATACTACCTGATTGTTTTGAGAGGTGAGAAAAAAGGGTTCTGTCAAATGAAGTTAACTATTTAAGGACAAAAATAAGTCATTAATTCATAAAAGTGTGGTTTCAACTTCATCTGCCTTTTCGGTTTCCATGTAAATGTATTATATGGTCATAAAAGTACAGTTTCTTGCATCAGCGATTGTGGGAGACCACCAGTTTCCGGATCAAGATGTTCATTAATGAAGCTGGCTGCCTGGTTCTTTAAAGTTTGTTTCTTATTTCAGTAACATAGCATCAAGCTCTGATAAAAACAAAACCATCCTTCTAATCAGATTACTTTGCCAAATACTGGGAAGCAGTTTGCAGTAGGAAAAAAAAAAAAACAGTAAAAATATCAGCCCAACTTTGACCTCAAGCCCTCCAGTTACTATGGAATAAATTTAAGGCCTGAATCTCGCCTCTCCCCTCTTTTTTTTTGTCTGTCCGATTAATTGAATAAAAGAAAGACTAAGACGAGTAGATATCTCTCAAATCAATGGAATAACCAATCCAAATTGTGCAACATTAATAACATAATAATCAGAGAGGAATAACAAGTATGCAACATCCTTTAGTAATTGTAGGACAAATTTTCCATTGAATCCCTCTTTAAAATTGCAATTATTGGACCTGAAAAGGAATTTTACATTAAAAAAAAAAAAAAAAGAAGAGCAGTCCTTTACCAAGGTCGATATCAATAAAGAAGGAACCAACTTTTCTTGTCTTCTTGTTTATGCCTGCTAGTTGCCACCACATCCTTAAAGTAAGAGGCTACAAAACAAAAAAAGTTGTGATATTGGTTTCCTTTGATTCATCCAAGCAAACTGTTTTAACAAATATATATTCCATCTGGAGTTTCCTATTAGTATATTAAGATCATAACAATTCTATTAAATTAACCGGCAATGATTTAGTAGTTATAAACATAATTTTATAAGTTACGACCACCATCCAAACTTCCCAAATAAAACCGACAGTTCAATAAAAATTCAAAATGATTCCAACAGGCAGAGGTGTTTAGGTATACGTTTGACTAGTTAATAGATAAAAATGCTGGCGGTTCACTTTCAAATGTCATAAAAACATGGGCCGCTGGCCGATTCTGACATTAGAGACATTTAAAAAAAGAAAGAATGGTTTTCTTGAAATATAATATTAAATTTTTAATTTCAATAAAATATAATAACTTCACTCATGTAAGAAAAAAAAAAAGGCAATTTTCTACTCGGCAAAAATATATTAATTTCTTAATTTTTTGAATTTGACATTGAACTTAACCTCCTCTACGCTGTCTATTTTAAATTCATTTGAATATATGATAAAATTAATTTAGTAAAATTAAAAAAATGATGAAAATAAAAATAACTACTGTAATAATAAAATTAAAATCAATACTAAAATATGCATTTAAATACAAACATAACAGTAACGATTAAATGAAAATAAAAATAACTATTAAGGATTTTATTTTAAAAATGCATTGTTAAATTATTTTATGCATATTTAATATTATTTTTATTCTAAATCAAAATATTAATACATATTATTTATTAATTTATTATATAATAAAATTTTTATTTATTAGTTTAATATATAGTAAATAAATTTATTTATTTATTATAATAAATCAATAAAGTTATTTCAGTATTTTTAACTAAAAAACAAAACGAAAAAAAAAAAAAAAAAGGTATGGATAATTTTGTCCAATCATTAGAATGACAAGGGTAAAAAATGATAAAAAAAAAATCATGGGCCAAGGTGCAAGGAAAAATTCTCACTTAGGTCTAGTGAAAAATTAGAGGTGTCATTGATTATTTGGTGTCTTCCAAAAACTATATCAATCCCCAAAAAAGTGGTTAAATGGCACCACAATGGTGCTTTAGTGGGATCTAATGAGCCCTTCCTATGATGTATTTTTTAGGCAAAAAAACCTTAATCCAACCACATCACTAAAAATAAAATCAAACAATCAATTAATTATACAACAGACAACAATTTAACGTGGTTTAATTCAATCGACTTACTTCTACATATGAGAAAAAAATTCACTAGTCATAGAGAATTACAAATATACATCAAATCAATCTCATTCAATAATTAATACCCATAGATCCTCTTAATCTTTTTTAATCCTATGGAGTATTTTCAACCCAAACAAACATATACCCATATGCACTCATGTATCATACTTATATTAACCATCTTAGTCTCCTCTAGTTCATTCACAAACATTCAAACATACACACACATAAATCTTCACTACTCTTATAAGGTATTCATCTTATAAAACCCTACAATTCTCTTATATCTTTTTATCATATTTAATCTTGTAGAGACTTCACCTATTTATAAGCATATAAACTTAACTATTACGAATCTCTTTCCATTTAAAATTCTTTTTCTACAAGTTTTTTATCCATAAAGTAATATCTAACCAATTTCAAATAAATAACTTATGGGATTTGAGTCACTATTCCAAACAATCTCTATCTTGACTCAAACTCCATCAAATCATTGTTTCCATCTTAAACATGCTTGGTTTCACCTACAATGGAAGTCTCATAACAATCTTTTTTATATGTCTTCACACTTCACATAAACCGATCTATCAAAATATGAACTCAAACTCTTTACTTGAATCGAGCTCTTCTCAACTTGACTTTTCTCATATCTCAAACCTCTAGCTGTTGCCACATCTTGAACATTTAGCTCTAATACTACTTGTTAGGCAAAAAACCCTTATTCAATCACACTAATGAAAATAAAATCAAACAATCAATTAATCACATAAGAGACAACAATTTAACGTGGTTCAACTGACCTACGTCCACGAATGAGAAAAAAAGATTCATTAGTTATAGAGAATTATAAACATACATTAAATCAATCTCACTCAATAATTAATATCCATAGACTCTCTCAATCTCCTCTTCTCTAGTCCATTCACAAACATTCAAACATACACACACCCATAATACATAAATCTCTAGTAGTCTTATTAGGTGTCTATCCTATAAAATCCTACAACTCTCTTATATTTTTGTCTCATATCTAACCCTATAGAGACTTGATCTATTTATAAGTATACAAACTTACCTATTAAGAATCCATTTTCTCTTAGAATTCTTTTTTTGCAAATCTTCTTATTCATTAAGCAATATCTAACCAATTTCAAACAAACACTCATGGGATTTAAGTCACTATTCCTAACAATATTTGCAATTTGCATATGATTCGACAAATAAGTTTCTATTACTGTGTCATATGCCTATAAGAATGACAGTGATATTGATTCTATATGAAATGCATAATTTTCCCGCAAACTTATCAAAAATGAAAACTTATATAAAATTGATCTAGACTATAATAAATGTAATAATATATGGTTTAATATAAACCTTCAACCAACAATTATGCCAAGCTTCCAATTTAAATTGTTCATCCATGCAAATTTCACAATTAACTTAGATAGTTCAGCTTGAAAATAATCAAGTTAAAAATGATTACCCTTTGACAATAATTCATCACTGATATACTTAAGAAATCATATAATAATATATATATTTTTTGAAATAAGATATCATATCATAATATTTAATTATATAATGTTATCATTTTCAAAACTTTAAATTTGGACCTCCATTAAGGTTAATAAATTGACTGAAATGGGCCAAAACAAGGCCAGCTAAGCCTCAAATAGAATTTGAATTTTCATTTGTGCTTAATTGTGCTAGAAATGCCATATTGATACTGGTAAATAAATAAACAAAGTGACGCACAAAAGTTCAATAAATGGGCATCTTAAAAAGCAGTATTTAGCAAAAGTGGTTTTCATCCACCTCCAGTATATGACACCCAAGCGTATGCAAGTGTCAATCATTTAAATTTTAAAGTTCAAGAAATTTAAACCAGACAAAGCAAAAGCACGATGTGGGAGAGAGGTTGGAGCATGCCTATGAGAGATTCATAACCTCTCTATAGCAATTGGAGTCTATAACCAATTTCCACCTCGTTACATATAGCAGCGGATGCAGGTGTGCAAGCAATGCTCAAAGTCGGTCATAACATTGAACCCAAGATTGCAAACATGTTAGAACCAAAATGCAGAGAAAGAAGAAAACAGTGATTTAGTCCACCTAGGACGTTAAAATCCCCAAGTCAAAATAATGATAATTCAAGACTTTACCCTCTCTTCTCATCCTGTAAACAAGGTTTCTCAGTGTGACAAATTTCCACTGACTTTGATTCATTGGTTAGCATACCATGGCGTCCCAGCACAACAAGATCTAGAAGCTTTCTCCTTACATTATAAACTGGATTTAGGTCAATTAAACAGCCCCTTTCATATGCTTCTCTAAGAAAAACAGTGTGTCTTTTTCCCTTGGTTGACAAATAAAATATCCCCGGGTGATCGAGGAACAAATCCCTTATATTCAAATCAATGGCGAAAGCTTTCCTGAAATGGCTAATCTTCTCCACCTCCACCATCCCCTCCACTGTCAAACTCAAGAATTCATGAACAATTGCAACTGCCCGTTTTTCTAATCCCATTGTTCCAGCCTTAAACCTTTTCTTTTCTACCATCTCTTCATAAGGCCCCACATATGGCAACCTTTGCCATTCCTCAACCTTAGCCCTAAAATCCTTGCTCAATCTCATCCCTGGTGGATAGGAATGTTTAAAACCATATTGAAGTTCTGTTCTATCAACAATGCAGTCCTCCGCACAACACTCCATAACTCGCCAATTCTCAACGGAAGCCACAAAACTCTTATCATGCATTTCATCAGTCAGTTTCAAAATATGAGTATTAAGTTCATGAGCATCAGAGAGCTTAAATATGTGTGAATTACGAGATATGACTGAGTCCTCAAAGTTATCTGGCAACCCAAGTTCCCTCCAAACTTTGAAAACAGCACGAAGAGGCAATGATTTAGTTGTTGACATAGACAAAAGCCTAACTAAGCGGTCAACAACAACAGGCAATGAGGCATTGATAGCTTCTGTCTCTTGGCGGAAAATATCAATAGCAGAATCAGTCAATCTACAGAAAGGCTGTGACTTATTGGGATCATAAAAAATGTGGAAAATATGAGGGTACTTACGGAGAAAAGAGGCAGCACCACGGTTTAGATGTAGCTTTTGGGAGAGCCTGGATAGGAAATCAAGGGATACAGAAGGAGGGTTATTGGTGGGATTTGAAAGGATAAGGTCTTGTATTGCCACGACTTTGAGAAGGTTTTTGTACTTGTCCATCAGTTTCTCAAATGTAGGGTCCCTAGCTCTCGATGCTACATACTGGGCAGAGGATGTTTTAAATCGACTACCAATTATTTGGTGTTTTAATATGGTTTTGACGGTGAGGATTCTCATTTTGAAGCAAGAAATTAGCAATGGTTTTTTTATTTTCTAACAGTCTCCTCATGAACTTTTGACAAACACATAACAGGCAGAAATAGCGCAAGCTGAAGTCCAACAAATCGATTTCAGTTACAGATGCTCGTTGCCAATACCACCAAAGATAAGAAATTCAGAAGAACCGAACAAAGAATCACTACTGAAAGAGAAAGATTTCCATTAAGGTAATTTTTCCAACTGCGAGAGCCACCGCACCACAGACGTAGCCTGTTTGGATTGAAGTAAGTAAAGGACGAGAAAGGAAAGGAAAAGAAAGGCTTTTAAACGAAGGGAAATGAAATGATACTTAGGGATGTGAAAATTGGAAAACGATGCTGATTGGGGTTAGGTTGGAGTAAACAAGCGATGGCACTTGCATTGCTGCGTTCGGGGACACCACTAACAAACAATATTACCAAAGTTGAGGAATAAGTATAAAGATTTATTTAGATGAATTTTTGTGAGATTAAAACTAATGGTAAAAATAATTAGTTATTTTAATGATGAAATTAAAATAAAATATGTATTTGAATAAAAAAATAGTGGTTAAATAAATTAATATTAAGCATAAATCTAAAACATATAACAAATTAAACAAATTTATATTTAAAAATCAAAAATAAAAAGAATTTGTTGAAATGTTTTATGGAATAAAAAAGAAACGATAGGAGGGAATATGACTTATAAATTTCAACTACACTCTCAGTTTGTCTATTGTACCATGGATACCCGGTCTCCAACTAAGTAAATATTATGATTAATCGCACTGAAATATGCCATCCAAATGACATCACGGCACAGTTGGGGGCCAAAAAGGTGTCCAATTCCACCGAAACGCAACTTTAGTGAGATCCAAACTCATCTTAAAACAATCTTTTAACCAAAAGAAATATATATAGATATAAAGAGATGAAAAATTCTGTACATTGAAAAGGAAAAAGAAAAAGAAAGATACAAATGGGTTTATGATGAAGTGATTTTCCCTGCTTCCTATCTCAAATTTCATGAGATTTCCACTTGATTTCCATCCGTCGAGAGAGAGATCGAGCAAAATGAGAAAAAAAAAAAAAAAAAAGGAGGTTATCTAGGTATGAAAAGAGAAAGTAAGTGACATACGTTTCGAATGTGGGTTTTAGGAATTTCATATTTCCCTTTTTTTTTTTACAACAAACAGACGAAAAAAAGAACCAGTTTCCAAGGGAAAAAAAGAAGTGACGTGAGGAAGTCAAGGATTAGGAACCTTGCCTTTTCTTTCTTCCTTCTTCTCTTCTTCACATGAATCTTTGCCCTGTACTTGACAAAGCTTAATAGGTTGAAAATGAAACTGAAAATGTCTCTAGTCTCCAAATTCCATTAACAAATGTTCATTTTAAAAAAAAATTAAAAAAAATATAAATACCAAAACAACTTTAAGAAAAGCCCTCGTTGTCGATAGTTCTAGTTATGCAACTTTTCCAATATCCCATTAAACATATAAGCTAAACATATTTTTCTTACTATTAATTTAATCTCTTTTTTATTAGTCTATTATTGCTATAGGAATTAACATATATTTTTTTATGATAGATACTATTTCATTAAATATACTATTCACTCCATTAAGTAAATTTTTTTTTTCAAATCAGCAGTAACATTTTTTTTTAATTTCTTGATTTATAATAAATTTAATTAGAACCCACTTAAGTTAATATTTTTTTATTATAATTTAAAAACAAATAAGAAAACAAACTTAATAATTTTGTTTCATTTATTTATGCAGATAAAATCACAGTGCACAGCTAAATAACAGTAAGAAAAAAATTTGTGTTAGATAATTTTTAAACTCTAATAGGCCATATTGATCACTTTGATGGAATTTCTTGAGTCTAGAGTTATTAAATAATTATTTGAATAAATATTTATCTTTGGAGGATAAAGGTATAAAACACTAAAATTTAAATATTATTATATGATTAGATATTATCTATAGATAAAATTATTTAAATATATTTATGGATTAAAGTTTATCAAAATTTAAATAAAAAATCAATCATATAACATATATAATATTATATTATATTATACAAGAATACCATATAAGATTTGCTCACTTGTAATCCTATGTGTACAATCTATTTTGATGACACATAAGACAGTTTTAAATATACGACCAAATAATCATTTTTGCATTGTCACTTACATGTATAATCTATACATAAGATAATTATTTAATTTTAATTATTTACCAAATAATTTTAAAATTTTAAAAATTAAGTTTATCCAATATTTCAATTTTATATAAACTTTAATTTAATTTAAATTACTAAAAATCTCAACCAACTCTTATCATCAATATATATCAAATCCAAAATTCAAATGCTAACTTTTAAATGTCAAATATTTTTCAATTAAATCATTATAACTTTTAAATTTGAAAATTTTAATATCTTCATAGATTTCCTCATAATCTCTTAATATTTGTTTTTTTTTTTTTTAAATTCAAACAAATTAAAATCACTTATTATATCTTTTATACTTTTAAAATCTTTTAATATTTCCTCAATTGAACTTGCATTGATTATAGGTTAAATATGAAGTATGTATTTCCACATCTAATAATCCTACAAGTATATTTTTTTTATTCAAATTCTTTTTTAATGCAAATTTCTTAATATATTTTTAAATGATTTGATCAATATTATAATTAAGTTAAGGTATGCCACTTCTTTTTGAGTTAATTTTATTTTCTAACATTATTGTTTATTTTTAACCTTTTTTATTTGCTTCACATTTTTTAATTATTTTAATTACTTTTTTTTTTTTATCAAGATCACAGTTTTCAAACACTAAAACAAATTTTGGAGGTATTTTTTTTGTTATGCCAAGAAAAAAATCATTGAATAAAGAAATTAGTTTTATATCATTTATAGATATTATATATGTATTTCATTCGTTAGATTTTTTTGTATTATGTATTGAGTTTAACTTTGTGAAAATCCTGCTCTATGCGAAGATTTTATTTAGGTATCAAATAATTGATTAGTCATTAATCCTACTACTTATTTTTTGAACATATGAAACTTATCGATAATGGTTTTTAATATGTAAAGTTATGTTTATTATAATATTTTATTAAATGAAAAGTGGGAAACAAAAATGGACTAAAAAGAATAATAATTATTATTATTGCTGCTATATTTAAATTTTAAATATTTATCTTTTTAACTTTTATATTAACACATTTTTTTCAAGTAAAAAAAGTGATAATATGAATTGTGTATATAAATATTAAGCCACAAAATATTATTTTTCGTGAAGGTAACGAAAGTAAGTTTTGCTTAGTCAATAAATATTTTTCAATTCAAGAATTTCTAGATTAGTTTTTACTATTTTGTAACTTAAGTAGGTTTTTATATATTTTTGTAACTTAAGTATGTCTCTTACATTAATTATTGATTTTGGAATCACATAGATTTAAAAGTGGGAACCACTAATATTTCAAAGAAATTTCTTTTGGATCCAAAGTAATTTTTTGATCTATTGGTTGCATAAATATTTTATTGTGTACTGATGTTTAATTGTTGACACATTTTAATATAATCTTTTCAATTTGTTTATAGTAATAAATTTTAATTGATAATTTCATTAAAATATGTTAATTAATAAATAAAATTAATCCGTGTATCATATGGGTTACAAACTAGTTTTTATATAAACTAGCATAATATTTACATGATGCGGCGGATTACTTTTTTGCTATTTTTATTTATGATTTTTTATTGTAAAATTTATTTAATTGAAAAAATAAAGATAAAAGATAAAAAACCTAATGGGATAATACATAGATATTTCAATTGGTCTCATTATTTTTGACAAAATTTATCTAATTAAAAAATAAAAATAAATTAAAAGGACAAAAACAAAAAATAAAAAAAAAGTTTATTGATGGTGCTACATACTATTAATTTCCAAAATTAAAGTAACAAATAATAACCATATTAATATAATGTATATAAAAAATTAAAAAAGAAAAAAAGAAAAAAAAGCAAATATATGACATTCCTTTGAAATCCAATGGATCTCATAAAAAAATTATTTATAAAAAATTGTAAAGAAAGAAAAAAGCAAAAGAAAAAAAGATGAAAAAAAAAAAGATTGGTATAAGGTAGATCTCACTTTTAAAAAATTTAAATGGAATATTTTCATTAAATATAAAAATATTGAAAACAAAAATTTAAAAAAAACAAAAATCGAAAAGGATAATGTGACATCCGAGTTAAATTTTGTATAAAACCAAGATTTATTTAATGAATAATTTTTTTTACAAAATTATAAAAAAAAAACTTGGCAAAGTATATCTCACCAAAAAAATTTGAAATCTTTAAAAATATATTATTGAAATCTTTAAAAAATTGAAAAATTTGGAAGAAAGAACTAAAATAAATAAAAACTAAACAAAAAAAAATTAAAAAAAAGAAGCTAGTAGTGCTACGTGGGACAATAAGGAAGACGGGTGGTGTGTACGCTAGTAAGATTTAAAGTATATCTATAGATTAATATATATTTTTAATTAAAAATATATTAATTTTAATTAATTTAAAATAAATATTTATATTATTAAATAAAAAATTATTTATTAAATATATTAAAAAAATGATTATAAGACGAATGTTATATTATTTGTCTTCATCTCTTAAAAATTTAAAATTATATTAATTTTCATTTTTATCTCAAAATTTATTATCTATGTCCATTTTTATTCCCATAAAAAATCAAATTTCATTCAAGTAAAACAGACATTACTAACGGCAAGCTCAATTCTAATCCTAATTCATCAAACAATGGCATAAGAATCATTACATTTGATGAAAACTGCAACTTACATCTGTTTAGAATTTACTTCATTGTTAGGCTAACTGTATTACCATACTTTCAGTTTTTCCCAAACCCAATTTTTCAATCATGTTTTATAAGTTTTGTACTTAATTACAAGTATCGTTCACCGACTATGGATTAGTTTCAGATTGGAAATAATTTGTTTTGTAGTAATAAATTCTTATGAACAATAACAGATAATGTTGGATTGGCAAAGTACATGGCTTGAACCATTCTCTTAAAAGGATGCAGGATTTCTTATCATCTCCAGCCCTCAAAACCGAGACCTGTCACCTGTCACCTAGCAGTCAAGTCATCAATTTTGAAGGAGCGCAGGTGAAAGAAGTAACCAGAATTTACAGCTATTGCCTATTATACTGTATTTATAATTTTATAGTATATATATATATATATTATATATGTGTCATCTTGATCTTGACCCCCGACATTATAAAAAGCATTGCAGCCACTTGTAATCAAATCTGTGGTAGTCCCTGGGTTTGGGGGTTTATGTACCAACATAATAATTCACAGCTGCTCTAAATTGCGTCCTGTGCCTTT